AAACACTGTAATTGACCAATGACAACATAAGAGAGAAAAGTACTTTTATTTGGACTTGCAAGTTTTCAACATGTGCAATGTTTCAATGAGAGTCATTTATCTTCCATAACTTTGCAGTTTCATGGCCGCTCGTGGAATTGAAGGTCAAATCCACAAGGTTTGTCAGAACTGAAAAATGCCATAAAACATAAAGCTAAACATATTCCTCCAGCGATGTTATGTTTGACATTGTTGTCAATAATCTCCTGTGTGCAATGTATATTTGTCTGCCAAGGTGGGCATGTTGAAAATATATAATTCCAATAAAAGTTTTATCCCCTTTCCTCTTTTGTGTAGTCATTGGTCCTCTTTATTGTTCTTCTTCGCAAATATTTTACATACCCAATTTCTATCGTACATGCATCATTCCAATGCCGTTTATGGTTTTTTAATTTGCTCTGGAAAAAATTGGGTATTGCCATTCAAATATTTGCTTTAATCAGAGTGTTATAAGTGATAATTCTAACAGAGCTCAAAGTATCAAATATTGCTAAATGCCAAAAATACGTAGGTCATGTTAGGCCTTCAAAAATTCATTCAAGTCACTTACCCAAAGGTGGAATGGATAGATTTTTCAACAACTGGACTGTTATAAAAGTCTTTTAAATAACAGAGTAATCAAATATTTTTGGTTGGTTTGTTTGGTTTCAAGCAAAACTGTCGTGTTTTTCTTTCATGTTAAGTGAGTGAAGTTTGAAAACACATGGAAATAGTGCCTAATGCTAGTCTCTTTTATTCTGTGGGTGGAAACTGAAATATAATCTTGAATTGCCAGGATTTTCCTGATTTAAAAAATTTCTGGATATTAGACTATGAGTTATTACAGGTAGAATTTAGCAGGGTTACCAGACAAAAGTGCACGCGACAAAAGCCCACAAAAAAGACCAGACTGCGATAATTGCCCATGCGACTAATACCCACACTGATGAAAGCACACATTGATAAAAGCCCACACTAACAAAAACCCACACCGATATATATGCTACATTAAAATTAATATTTACCTCTTTTTTTCTCCAGCTTCACAAAGCGGATTCATGAATAAAGATAAAATAAAAAATAAATTAAATTAATTACAAATAATTGAACAATTAAATTAATTTTAAATAGTGGAATACATTTCATTTTGTGCTCCGGCTGAATTAAAATCCTATATGTATATAGAACAGAGAGTCAATCAAAATAATACAATTAAAAACACATACATGTATGTGTAACTTTGTGTAATTCCTCTACTTAATTTATTACCTTGAAATGTTAAGCTTATTAGTTGTGCTGATACTCAGCAACTCAGTATTTTGTTGATTGAGTTTTTAAAATATCAACACAACAATTTAAGTATTGGTATGGTTGTACTAATACTTTAGCAACTCATTCGTCAATACTGAGTAGCTAAAGTATCAGCACGTCTATACAACAATATTTAAATGTAAGCAGTAAGCATAAATATGCAGAATGAAGTAAGCTAAACAATTTTATAGTGCTAACTTAATTTTGATAGTAAACACTGATGTGAACTGATCATGTGTGCAAATATGTCCTAAAAGAACATCATCTACATCACGCCTTTATCTACTGCAATATGTAATGTCCTGAAACATCATCTTCATCATGCCTTTATCTTTTGCAATATGTAATGTCCTGAAACATGATGCATGTACCTATTACAATAAAATAACATCATAAAACACGCACCTGTACAACTATGTATCGCTATATATATCATGTAATGTAATGCATTTTACCTGATCTAATTTACCCCCGGCGGTGGCAGAACTTGCAGTGTTGGCTGGAGTCACAATTTCATCATGACTCGAAGATGCCGGAAGATTTTTGTTTTTCTAGTCAATGTGTAGAGCTAATGGCTACTTACTTCAGGTAAATATTAGGTGGCCCCTTCACTTCTTCGTAAACATAACACCACAAGCAGTGGTCTATATGTTAAGCACAAGGTGTACTCTTGTAAATAGTTCTCTTGGATAAAAGGTTTCAACCTTTATCCTTATTCTGTTGTTACTGAACATCAAGTTGATTAGTGAATTTGGTTTGGTTTGGTGTATGTGAGCACGACAAAGCCTCGAGGGCTATCTACCTGGGAAGAGGAATGCCTTCGTGAAAGACTTTCTAAGAGAAACTGGCTCGTATATATGTTACACATAGGAAAACCCATGAAAATCTCCATACAACCAGCCCATTTGCGGGACTCGTACCTCAGACAGAAGTACCAGTGTTTAGTGATTAACTATTTTTAAGGTAATATGGCTGAGATTATGCTATTTTTAAGGCAATATGGCCGTCAATAGATATAATTCAATATAATTATTTTCTGATGGATAATGGAATTAATTTAATCTAATGCCAATTAGAAAACGGCTATTTACAATAGGGAGATTTTTAAAAGCACTATAACTGTAATTAAGAGCACTGTAATTTTTATTCCACAATCAGCTGTTATGTAAGATTAGCTGCTTTCTGTGTATTTTTCATGTTATATAACTGATATCCATACGTCTTGAACAAATATACAGCAAATGCAAGACAAATTATTAAAAAATTGCAATTTGAAACATTAATACTAATTTTCTATTACTATACATAATACTAATGATGAATTTATATAATATGTATGCTTAGAATCTAAATACGACGAACTTTGAATCTGATGACTCTATAAATATATATTTATTTAGTTACAAAATTTTATTAGATGCTATTTATATGCATAGTTCTTTGTAATGTTATTTATGTGCATAGTTCTTTGTAATCTTCACAATCTCTAATAAAATACTACATATTTATTACTATAGTTTGAGATGATTGTACTTAAATTTGTAGATATATTGACTTCTAAGAGTTGTTCCATTCCCCCCCCCCCCCCCCCCAAAAAAAAATAAATGAAATGAAATGAAAATTAAAAACACTATTCCAAATTGCTGTAGTTAAAATATTAAGAGGTTACATTTGGAATTCATTTTCTGACAGGGTGTCAGCTGACAGTTTTAATTTATTCAGAAATCTAAAAGAAAATATCTCTAGAAAATCTCCAAATTATAATTATTGCATTCAAAAAAGCTTTTAGTGAGAAATATGTTTAAACTTCGATAATAAGCTCAGTCTAAAGTAAAGAATAAAATATCTCTTTACCAAGTTTTCATTGTGCTTAACTGTTTTAATATTCTTAAACTAAAAAGGAACTAAAGGAAAAATTAAAAAGAAATAAAATAAAATTCAAGTGTTTTTAATTAAAAAGTTAATAGTTTTAATAATGAAACATAATTATATTTAATCTCAGCCATATTACCTTAAAAATAGCTTGTGAGAAACTCCGCAATAATATTTTTAATTTTCATATACACATACCAAAGTTAACTAAGTAAACAAATAAAAAAATGCAATTTCAAATTTATCATCGAAATGTTATAGCTAATCACTTAATCAGAGAGTAAAAGTTTGCTTTCAACCTAATAAATTAAACAAATAAAGTAGTGATAAAATATACAAACAGACGTATATCTGAGACATTAAAATTCAGATTTGAATACTTCATTTATTATAATTATAAATACACGGTTTAGTAATTAAAATTATAAATACACAGTTTAGTAATATAAAAAACCATAAGTCCCTTTTGATTATGTGCGCTTTTATCATTGTGGGCTTTTATCAATGTGCACTTTCATCGCTGTGGGTATTTGTCGCATGGGCAATTATCATAGTGGGCTCTTTTTTTGTGGGCTTTTGTCGCATGCGCTTTGGTCCAGTGGGCTTTTGTCTGGGAACTGTTAGCAGAATACCAGAATTTCACCATTGGTCATACAGGTATATTCCTGCTGCACTGACTATGTTGTTCCACCCCAGTTCTGAGAGAGACCATCCAGAGGGCGATAGTCTGAGAGTCTTCTACCCCTCTTCCTCCACCATCAACCTCTTGAGAGGATTCTCAGCTCGCTATATATTTTGAGTCCCTCCTTGCTGCACAGGTACTATATGCTTAGAAAGGTCCATGCTTTCTCCAGAATTTGAGTCCAGGCCCATCTATGTGATTAAACAGCATCACTAACCACTATAGTGGCTTACTGGCTGGATGGCGATGACATGTAGACATGGCGGCAACATTGGGGTTTCGCTCATTGTTTAGGTAAGATAGAAGAATGCTAATCTCCTAGCACTGCTAGTGCAGCTCATAGAATTTAAGAGGGTTGGCAAAAGTTTTAAAATTTAGAAAAGCACCAAAAATTAAAGTTGGCAAAATATTTAGAAAGGCAAAATTTTTGGAATTTATGATTAGCAGAAATTGCACTGCACGGCAAAATTCGTAGTGCTAGTCTTGCCTTTCTCCAAACCACTTTAAAGGCCAATGTGTGATTCTGGCTGACATCAATACAGCATCAATCAATGCATTGTTAATGCCTGTGGGGTGAGATGTTAATGCCTCGCTAGATAGTAGGTGAGAATCTCAGTTAGACAGAAGGAAAATCACATGTACATCACACCTACTTATTTTGAGTATTATATTCTACATTCCTAGATTAGATTTTTTTATTATTATTTTTATTCTGATGATTTGGAGGTCAAGGACTGGTTTGGATATCCAAATTTAAGACTTTGTACTGTATGCATAAATTATATAGACTGATAGCTAATACACACATTCTAGTGTGTAATTTTTTTAGAAGTAGTGAAATGTAGGACATTTTATTTTCCAGAAAAATGATCGGGCTTAATTTGTAGGGAAAAGATCATGCTTTATTCAGTCTTTCTGTAAAAACTGTTGTTGAGGCTGTTTAATGTATGTATTTTATTAACAAATTGTATATAAATAATGGGAAACTGTTTGAGAGCAACAATTCTCTCAGTATGTTTTTAGCTTTCAGATTAAAAATGAAAATAAAATTAATAATAAAGGCTTTTACTTATTAGTTTTTTTTTTTTTTTTTTTTTTTTCTTTTCTTTTTTTTAAGGTGCTGCACAAAAGTTGTATGTTAGATTGTTTCAAAGGAAGTATAAATGGTTAAGACCTAGTAAAATCAATTACCCGGATATCACCAACAATCCCAAAGAAATTCTGGAAGAACTAGTCAAAAATAATTTAGTTGACTCAGGTATGATTTAACCTATTCATTTTAAGAAACTAGTGTATGCCTCTTATATTTGGTTTCATAATTTTCTGAAAATGGTAGATTAGATATTTAGTCAGGCTTAACATATGAAAATATTTTTAATGAATTTGCTGCATAGAATGTTATTAGTTTTAAAATACCTAACATCATTAATATCTCACAAAATTTTATTTCCGGTTTTGAAATCTTCCAGGAATAGATTAATTTTTTTATCTCCTTTTCTCCCTTTCCTGGTATAATCATAAGCAAATGTGATTTTTTTTTGGTACAATTCCATGAGTTTTTCCTTTTTTTTTTTTTTTTTTTTCTTCTTTCTTTCCCTCTTCATGCAGTCAGACTTATTATTATTATTATTATTATTTTTTACCTGAAAATTATTTAAAGCATTTTATGAGAATTAACAAAAATCCCTGCAAGGGCTGATATGTTGACACTAGTTGTTCTGCTGCTTAGCATTCTGCCACTCCTAAATTTCATTGCCCAGTACCTCTAGAATTTTATTGCCAGGTGTGGCTGCACTGATTGCACCATCCCTGTTGCCAACCTTAATTTCAGTTTCTGTACTATAGTGATTTCATGTCTTATATAGCTGAAAATATTTTTTTTTGAACATGTATTGTTAGAAAACAAATTAGGTATGCCCCTTGACTTGGCATTTAATTTTGTCTATATTTGTGAAGTATTTTACCAAGTAGAATCATGTAAAAGGATACAGTTAATTTAGCAGGTTGTCTCGTATCTGTTAATATGTTTGTGTAAGATTTATGGTTTAAGGGCAAATGTTTCACATTCTGCACTTTATTATTCATATCAAGGTGTAAAAAGTCATAATTTTAAAAAATTAAATAAGTTATTTCTTATTTTCTTCTGCATTGACTTATTAAATGATTATTATGCATTTATGGTTCTTGAAAAATTTAACTTCCACAGAAATAGCAGGTTTTCCTGAAACTTCTTTGCCATGCTTTCTAAAATCCTAAAATTGATCTACTTAATGATTTTATAGAATATTTGTCTAAAACTATATATTTTAACATCTAATTAATTAGATAAACATATATAAATGAAATTGAATAAAAGCTACAAGTTTATTTAGATCTTATAAGTAATTTGCATAAAATATGTAAACATTTATAGTGAATACTTTTGTTTGCTGTTTGATTAAAAATATGTTTAACACATTGAACTTACAAAAGAGATCTTTTGTGAAAAGATTTATTACCTTTCTTTAACAATTTACCACAATAAAAAGAAAAGAACAGAAGTTTCATAAATTAATGCATGCATGTAAATGAATTGTTTCGCACCCTATGCAATTAAAGTATTTTTATTATTTTTGCTGGGGTATATCGGCAGCCGAGCGGTTAAGTCGCTGAACACTGGTAGTTCTGTTTGTGTGTAATGTGAATACGAGCCAGTTTCTCTTGCAAACGCTTCCGCAAAGGCATCTCTTTCCTTAGTCAGATAGCCCTCAAATGCTTTGCCATAATGATATAAACCAAATCAAACCATTTATTTTTGTTGGACTTGCATGCATCTAATACCTGTAGAGATGAGGTGCTAATTTTTTGTTGTGACAAACTGTGCATGTGTGTCTCTAAACTTATCTACTTACTTGTTTTTGGAACATCCTGAATAAACTGTATATTTAGCTAACATAAAATTACACATTTTAACAATTTGTTAGTTAGATAAAAAGGATTATTAATAAAATAATGATCTTGAATAAAAGCTACAAATTTGTTCAGATCTTTCAGTATACAGTACAAAATAAAAAATAAAAAAATAAGCATCATATTGAATAACTGCTTATTGTATGATTTTAATTATTTGTGTTTAAAAAAAAAAATTAGAAAAAAAGTCTCCTCCTTCTACCAACAATATATTATAAAATAATTTAGTAATTATTTTTTATAATTTAATTAGTAATTATTACACATGCTAAGTTTTAAGCTTTCTCTATGATTTATTTTAAAAATATTTAATCAATTTATAGTAACATATTATTTATTTCTGAACTTACTTTGTACAGGTTGATTTTTAAATTTTATCAAACACTACATTTTAACATTTATTCAGGTTCCTTGTCCTTCCTCCCAACATTTTCCTACAGTCTAGATTGTCTGCAATATTCATTAATTTAATTATCTGCTGCCATAAAAATTTTGCATAAACTCTCAGTTTTTATCCTTTCCAAGATTTACCTAAATATCATTAATGGCAAACTTTTCTTTGATAAACAAAGATAATCCAATTCCATAATTTTTGTACTTTATATTCACATGTTATGCTATATAAATAACAGTGTTTACTAACAAGAGGTAAGGATTTTCCAATTTTG